GGCCGGAGGCTTGCTGGCTCTGCCCTGTCCATCCCGGGTGTTTGATGGGCTTGGACTGTCCCCTCCCCGTCCAGAGCCAGCCGGCCCCGTCCTCGTCCTCCGGGCTCCCCGCGTGCGGATGACTCAGGGTTACTCCCACCCGGTAACCCGAGGCCCGCACCCGCCCCGCCCCTCGCTGCCCGTCCTACCTCTGCTCAGGGACAGTGGTCACTCTCTGTAGGAGCCTTGTCCGTTTCAGAAGGAAAAAGCATCAGATGCCAGTCGTGGACCCCTATTGGCCCTAATTAGATTGTTCTTTGTAGATACATTTCAGTAAACCCGAGCTTGTGCGAAGCAGGGAGAGGACGTGAAGTGCATGCTTAAAGCGCTGCTGCGTATTAAAGTAGAATTTTTATTTCCTGTAAGTCACACGTTTCTACATAAACATTAAATTTTCTTTTTAATATATTTTATTGATTTTTTTACAGAGAAAAGGGAGAGGGATAGAGAGTTAGAAACATCAATCAGCCGCCTCCTGCAGAAACATCGATGGGAGAGAAGCTGCCTCCTGCACACCCTCTATCGGGGACGTGCCTGCAACCATGGTACATAACCCTTGACTGGAATGGAACCTGGGACCCTTCATTCTGCAGGCCGAAGCTCTATCCACTGAGCCAAACCAGTCAGGACAACATTAACTTTTAAAATATACTTTGTCATGAATGGGAGTAGAGTTAGTCAAGGTATAATTTGAGCTTCAAACTTTTCTTTTTGTCACAGTTTTTGATAAGTTTGTACTCCCCTCTCCCCCCGAGAATGGGATGCACTGTGACAGCGCCTGTGTTATCCATCAAGTATTAAGTATCCTTTCATACTTACATTCGGACTCTAAGGCAGCAGTTCTCAACCTGGGGGTCGCGACCCCTTTGGGGGGCAAACAACCCTTTCACAGGGGTCGCCTAAGACCATCGGAAAACACATATAATTACATATTGTTTTTTGTGATTAATCACTATGCTTTAATTATGTTCAATTTGTAACAATGAAATTGGGGGTCACCACAACATGAGGAATTGTATTAAAGGGTCGCGGCATTAAGAAGGTTGAGAACCACTGCGAAGGGATGCTTTCTTGAACATTCATTTAACTGGAATTGGTACTGGGTGCTCTTCCCTTGTTTGGTGTGATTCAGTTGTGTTAAGAAAATGTCAACAGAAAACAAAAAAATTTTCATCTCGGAGAAACCAAGATGGCGGCATAGGTAAACGCTGGAAATTGCTGCCTCCAAAACCACTTCAAAAATACAATTAAAAGACAAAAACGGACATCATCCAGAACCACAGGAAGGCTGGCTGAGTGGAAATTCTACAACTAGAAGGAAAGAGAAAAGCACACTGAGACTCAGAGGAGGTGCGGAAGTAAACTGCAGAGGTACTGAGGCAGCGTGGAAAGGGCTGCCAACTGAGGACACGGTTGTCTTTTTCAATCAGGAGGGAGTCTCAAGCTCCTGACTGTTCTGAACTCCAGTTCCAGATGAGTCTCTGGGGACCCAGACTCATACAGGGAGAAACTGGACTGTTTGGCATCAGTCGGAACTCGAGGGCAGCGTTCTCTCCGAGGTGCTTGCAGCCGATTACTGGGACACTGAGATGCAGGGCCCTTAGGGTAGGACTGAGGAGCAGCCATAGCTGCTAGCTCCGCCCTGTTGATCCCCTGCGACCCCTCCCCACCCAAGCTGTGCCAGAAGCTTTTGCATATGAAAGGCCTGGCCCTTTGCAATCTGAAAATTACCTAACAAACTGCAGCTGGGTCAGAGAGACCCAGAACTTCCAAAAGAAGGCCCAAGGCCCCACAGCAGTTTGCATTGCTTCACAGCTGGACCTCATTTGGGCATCTCCAAACCCCAAACAAGGAAGGGGCATCTGCAGATTTCTCCGTAGCTCC